TGTAGGTGGCGGTGATGAGGAGCCACAAAAGAAACGTGGCGATGACCAACAGAAGAAGCGCAAGAGGTCGAATAAAGTCGTTCAGGCAGGTTCTTCTGAGAGCGCTTCACAGGGCATGGAACAATCCCAGCCCATTCAAGATGTTCAAACCCTGCCTATTCAGGATGTTCATCCCCTTCATGAAGTTGCTTCTGATTAGCCCAACATGGGTGATATGCTTATGGACAACTTGTTCGGTCCTGAGCATTTATAGGAGTTCCCCAGGCAATTTAACTCTGCCCCGGGTTCTAATGCAGAGGACCACCAAGCAGACCTGGTTGGGCGGTTCGAGCGGATCTCTTTGGAAGATCCTGTTCATGAAATTCTGGAGCGCAGTGGAGCGATGACGTCTCGGATTCGGTCCACTGTCGCTTTCTTTAATGGCCTCCCGCTCCCTCAGCTTCCAGTTGAGCGTACGGAGGAATGCCTTGCCCTGGTTGCCCTTAAGGTATTTTTCTTTCATGTGCTTTCCATTTGTGTAAAGTTTTTTAACTCGTGTGCTGAGTTTCTGACTATCCTTCAACGCTCCAGATGGGGCTGTACAGCCTGCAAGTGTGAGAGGCCCGGCTGGCTAAGGAACGTGACCTGATCGTGGCCCAAGAAAATGCCGAGCAGGCCGTTTCTAAGGCTGTGCAGGCGGCCGAGGCTGAACGCCTCTCTTTTTCTGAGGAGTGGAAGAAACTCGAGGCCGAGATAAGGGAGCTCCGTGTTCAGGTGGTTACCCTTCAGGCGAAGATTGCGGCTGCTGAGGCCGCACAAATCAAATTCAAGGAGGCACCTTCGCAAATCCCGGACGGTCCTCCTGAAGTGAGCGTGGATCTTTCCTCTGTCCGGGAGGATTTCAAGGCTTCCGAAGAATTTGCTGCTCTAAAAAAAGAGTATGCCCTTGAGCAACTCCCCGCTGTCTTCGGGCGGCATCCAGGGCAAGTAAGCTGGGAGGCACGCCAAAAGGAGGGGGTTCGGATGCTCGATCAAGATCCCATAGCCAAAGAGTGGGCTGAAACCCTTGTTCGAGAGGTTTACTCTGCCGGATGCCAACACATGTTGCAGCCTATCCTTCCCCTTCTTGAGAAGCTTCTAGGCCGATCAGTGCAGGCAGCCATCGGACTTCCCTCACCTAGTTACCAATCACCTTAATGCTCTAAAGGCCCAGTTGGGCAAGTGCAGGCGAGCCTTGGGGATGGAGTCTGACCAAGCTGCTGATGAGGAGGATGAAGGTGATGACGATGATGATGGTGATGAAGACGAAGAAGATGCCGCCGAACAGTAAAATAGATTTGGTTTTTTATCTGTACTTTCCCTTTTTTTCCTTCATACAAACTTTTGCAATTTCCGGCCAGTAGAGCCGATGAATACAATTGGAATTTTTGCCTATCAATTTGACTTGTAGTTCCTTTCTTATTGTTTCGCCTGTGGACTTTGAATTTTTGTCATTTTCGTGATCTCTATCTTCTCGCTCGATGTATTCTGGCTCAAATAATTGTAGGGTCACCTGTTCGGGACCCCAATCTCGGTAATTCACAAATGCTATGATAAATGTTGGGTCTAAGCCCAATACTTAGGACTTAGTTGTTTCCCTGATTTTTCCACTTCGTTCGGGAGACGCCACCTCGCTGCCCTGTTGGGACATAGTCAAATTTCATGGCTTTACCTTCCCGTTCAGTCGAGTCTACCTTTACCCAGACGCTCTCCTTAGGCTCATCCTTACACCCTTATGCCTGTTCGGTCTTTAGACATGATGGTGATCTTGAGAAATTAGGCACTTTGGGAAGATTTTACTGCCCGTTCGGGTGGGAGATCTGTAGTCACTTAGTATGGGTCGCTTGCATGGAATATCCTTGTGGCGCCGATCGAGTATATTTACCTTTGATTGTGGCTGATTCATAGCTTGTGTATTTATTTTGAATAGTTCTTTGCTTTATTTCCCGATCGGTGCCTTTGACCGTTTCATTTCTTGCTTGTTATCAATCTTTGGTCTGGAAGACTGTTTGGGTATCTACGCGGCTGGTGGTGCCTTAATTGTTCTTAACCGTTTGTGCCACGTGCCAGCCATTGGTTTGAACTCTTGGCGGCGTTTCCTCTATATAAGGGAGCTACTTCCTCATTTTTCACCTGCTGCTTCTCTCATCTTTCTGCGTGAATCAAGCTTTCTCTCTCTAGAAATTTGCTTAAAGGCGTTTGCTTCCCCTTTTATGTCTGGTTTCCTTAGCTCATCTGACTCAGAGGAAATGGCACCCAAGTTAATTCGTCGCCCCCGGGGGAAAGCCCATCCCAGCAATCAAGATGGCCCTTCTGCCCGATCATCAGGTTCCGATGATTCTTCCTTTTCTCCTTAAACCGAATAGCCCCTCCCAGATGATGGGTGCATATCCGGTGATGATTTGGCCATTTATGAGAGGGGGATGCCCGAACGGCCCCCTCGTTACAGCCTGAATTTTCACTGCATCAGGAAGCAATGTCAACATCTTCCTGCGGATGCCGAACAGTTGCTCCGCCAGTTATTGCCCACACCCCACCAATTCTACGCGGGTTTTATCAAGCATCCCATGTGGCACCGTTCGGGATGCGTGATGGTGCATATGGACGCACTAGTTGCCGGTCTCCGATTTCTCATGCATCCTTTTATAGTGGAATTCTTGCGCCGGGTGTCAGTGTTGTCGGCCCAGTTCGTGCCCAGCACATATAGGATTTCTACTGGTTTCATCGTCCGGTGTCAGGACCTGGGGATTACCCGGAACGTTGACCTTTTCTTGTATCACTACAACTATTAACCCTACTGGACCACTGGGTACCTGCGGCTGATTGCCCGTATTGACCGGGCCTTGTTTATTGAAAATCCCACCCCCCTGAAAAATGGGAGGAACGTTTCTTATTTGTTCGTGTGTGTGAGCCCCTTCCGTTCCCTGATCGGTGGAACACATATCCCGTTCGGGATACTACCCCAGTACTGGGTGCCGCTCTACTCTGTCAGTATGATCGGCTTCGTTTGGATGGCTCCAAGAACCTTCGCTCTTATCTCACCCCTTCCAAACTTCTGGCTGCCGGCATTGGTAAATTTTATTCCGATTTGGGTCGTTCGGTAAGAGTGTTTTTCCTTTTGTTGATTCCCATTTATCATTTTTCTTACAAGTGTAATCCCTCCCGCTTCTCCGAAACGGCTTGCTCCCACTCCCTCCTCGACCGTCCCAGCGGATGAGGGGAAAGGGAAAGTCACTGTTGTTGCCGGGAAGCTGGTTCCTCAATCATGTTCCTCCGCTAGCCAAGCTACCGATCAGGCACGGAAGCGCCTGAGGACTGAGAGCGGTGGTCAGTTGGTCCCGATCGACCATGTTATTGACTTGACGAATCCTGATCCGGAACCCAAGAAATTTGCTCCCTCTTTTTCTAGGGATGATTCCGCCGTTGGAAAAAAGGACGATTCCTCTCTTGCCAACCCACCGATCAGTGATCGGATGGTTGTGGAGTTCTCCGCCATGGGCCCTCGTGCCGAGGGCCGGACGCTGTACGGGCAAACTGCATCCTCCCTGTTAAAATAGAGCATATTAACTAAGAAATAATATTGGAGAGGAAAGGATTTTCTGTGTATTTCATTGGAGGGTTAAGTCCCTATAAATATAGATTACAAAGATAGAATATTCCTATAAGATTCTATACAATAATAATATCCTAGAGTATATTCCTAAAATATTCTAAAGTATATTCTGAGGATAGAAGAATATTCTAAAGTATATTCTAAAGTATATTCTAATGTCTTTCACACTCCCCCTCAAGTTGGAGCATAGATATTTATCATGCCCAACTTGTTACATAAATAACCAACACGAATTCCATTTAATGCTTTAGTGAACAAATCTCCAAGTTGCTCTCCAGTCTTCACATATCCTGTAGAGATCAATCCTTGTTGTATCTTTTCTCGAACAAAGTGACAATCGACCTCAATATGTTTTGTTCTCTCATGAAACACTGGGTTGTTGGCAATGTGTATAGCAGCTTGGTTATCACACCAGAGTTTAGCAGGCATTGGTGTCTTCAATCCGATTTCACTCAGCAAATGGTTTATCCAGATTATCTCACATGCCGATTGTGCCATAGCCCGATATTCTGATTCAGCACTCGAACGAGAAACCACATTTTGCTTCTTACTTTTCCAAGAGACGAGATTACCACCAACAAAGACGCAATAGCCAGATGTGGATCTCCTATCATCTTTAGATCCAGCCCAATCAGCATCTGCAAAGCATTCTATTCTCATGTGATCATGATTTTGGTAAACAATACCTCGTCCTGGTGTCCCCTTCAAGTAACATAATATATGCTCTACTGCATTCCAATGATCAACTGTCGGAGATGACATATATTGACTCACTACGCTCACAGAGTAAGCAATGTCTGGACGAGTGACTGCGAGATAGTTAAGCTTTCCAACCAATCTTCTGTACCTTTCTGGGTCTTCGAATGGTATGCCTTCTGAAGTGAGTTGCACATTGGGAACCATGGGAGTTGTGTTTGGCTTTGCTCCCAATTTCCCTGTTTCAGTTAGTAAATCAAGTACATATTTACGCTGAGATAGAAATATGCCTTTCTTACTCCGTGTTACCTCAATACCCAGAAAGTATTTCAATGAGCCTAGGTCTTTTGTTTGGAATTGGCTATGAAGAAAATTCTTAAGGGCCAAAATACCTGCGGTATCACTTCCTGTAATCACAATATCATCGACATACACCACAAGCAATGTGATACCTGCTTTCGTTTTTCTGTAAAAGACAGAGTGATCTGATTGACCTTTTATCATTCCAAACCGTTCAATGGATTGACTGAATTTCCCAAACCATGCACGAGGACTCTGTTTCAGACCATAAAGAGATTTGCGAAGTCGACAAACTTTCCCATACTCCCCCTCAGCAACAAATCCCGGAGGTTGCTCCATATAAACTTCCTCCTGAAGGTCACCATGTAAGAATGCATTTTTAATGTCCAACTGGTGTAAGTGCCAATCATGAGTTGCAGCGAGTGAGATAAGTAACCTGACAGATGTTAATTTAGCAACAGGAGAAAAAGTGTCAGAATAATCAACACCATAGGTTTGAGCATAACCCTTTGCAACCAATCGAGCTTTCAATCGAGCAACAGATCCATCTGGATTAACCTTAACAGCAAAGACCCACTTACATCCAATAGACTTCTTCCCTGAAGGCAAGTATACCAAATCCCATGTACCATTAAGATCCAAAGCATTCATTTCCTCTACCATGGCATGACGCCATTCAGGATGAGACAAAGCTTCTTTAACAGATTTGGGAACAGAAATAGAATCAATGGAAGCAACAAAAGAACATGAGGCAGGAGATAACTGACTGTATGACACAAATGAGGAAATAGGATGAGTACAAGACCGTGTACCTTTACGTAGTGCTATCGGGAGGTCAAGATCAGATGTAGAGACAAGATCTGAAGATGCAGGTACTGGTTCAGGACATGAGATCGAAGTCGGACCAGTATCAGGATATGTAATCACAGGTGTCACAGGTGGGGAGTGATCTTGTGCTTTGTGTCGACGGGTGTAAACCAAGTGTACAGGAGGTCTAGGGTCAGGAACAGTGACATTCGACATAGTTACTGAAGGTGTGGTCTCAGGTATAGTAACTGTGTAAATGAGTATTTCATCGTTGTCCTCATGAATATCTGTCTTGGATGATGAAAATGGTGTATTTTCATGAAATGAGACATCAATAGAAATAAGATATCGACCTGTACTTGGACAAAAACATCTATACCCCTTTTGAACTCGAGAATAACCCAAGAAAATACATTTCAATGACTTGGGGTCCAATTTCGTCCGATGAGGGTTAACATCTCTAACAAAACAAGTGCAACCAAATATTTTAGGTGGAATAGGAAAAAGTTCTTTATTTGGAAAAAGACATTGATAAGGAGTTTTACCATCCAAAACAGAAGATGGCATACGATTGATCAAAAAAACATGAAGTAGACACAGCGTCAGCCCAAAACTGTTTAGGCACATTCATTTGGAATAGAAGAGCCCTTGCAGTTTCTAACAGATGTCGATTCTTTCTTTCAGCAACTCCATTTTGAGGAGGTGTGTCTACGCATGAAGTTTGATGAATAATGCCATGTTGAAGCATAAAAGATTTAAATGGAGCAGATAAATATTCTTGAGCATTGTCTCCCCTTAACACACGAACAGGAACATTAAATTGAGTTTTAATTTCAGCACAAAATGCAGAGAAATGAGTAAATAACTCGGATCGGCGCTTCATAAAATACACCCATGTCATACGAGAATAATCGTCAACAAAAGTGACAAAATATTTGAAACCAGGTTTGGACACAACTGGACATGCCCCCCAAACATCAGTATGGACAAGATCAAACGGAGCATTTGCTCGTTTATTAAGTCGGGGACTTAAACTAGTGCGATGATGTTTAGCAAACTCACACGACTCACATTGTATAGAAGACACTTTATTAAACTGAGGATATAATTGCTTCATTAGTGAGAGAGATGGATGTCCTAATCGGTAATGAGCTTCTAATAGATTTCCAACCCCAAGGCAAGAGATACCTTTTGTAATTGATGTATCCAAAATATAAAGACCACCCGACTCATGTCCTTGACCAATAGTATGCTTCGTTAACAGATCCTGAAACACACAATATCCCGGAAAAAATGTTACAGAACAATTAAGAGTACGTGTGATTTTACTGATGGAAAGCAGATTAAATGCAAAATTAGGAAGACTCAAAACAGACGATAATGGTAATGTAGAAGTTGGTACAACAGTACCAGATCCAAGAACGGGTGAGGTAGACCCGTCTGCTAAAGTGACACTGGAAGCAGGTAAATGTGAGTGAAATGATGAGAATAGACTAGGATTACCAGTCATATGATCTGTGGCACCTGAGTCAATGACCCATTTTGAGGATGATGAAACAAGACATGTGTTTGAAATACCTGAATTTGCGACTACCGAGATAGGGGTAGATGAATGCTTTAGAGATTCTTGGTAGCAAATAAATTTAGCATACTCGTCTGAAGAAATAGCAATTGATCCATCAAATGAACTCGTAGCGGAAGCAACATGAGCAAGCTGATTTCCTTGATTTTTGAACAGCAACTTTCTACATTCTTTGAGCAAGTGTCCAGGCTTCTTGCAGTAATTGCATCTTATTTCTCTGCCAAACTGAGTGGTACAAAACATTCTTTTTTTTTTTTATTTTTTTTTTTTTTGATTTTTTTTTGATTTTTTTTTTTTTTTTTTTTTGCAGTAGTAAGTTCAAAATTGAGATACTGCCATAAGCTACAACAGCCTTTCCCCGTTTGTGGGCTCAAAATTTGGAGAAGAAAATTTGGAGGAAAAAAAAACTTACTCAACTTTTAAAATTGATGCACTGACATATCGGTAGCAGTTCAAGGGGTGTCCACACATATCCGATGCTAGACACCAGCGAGGCAGCGACCAACCCACCTGGGGCGTCCACAGTATCCGATGCCAGACACTAGCGACCAACCACGAAGCTTCCTCCGGCCCACAGATCCCGTCCCTTGCTGGACAAAGAACGAGAGAAGTAAAGTATACCTGGCAGAGGACTTTCAAGCGAGTTTCAGACGAAGAGTTCCGATCAGATTCCGGCCAGAAACACGGCGTCACGCGCCGGTGCGTGAGTTGGCTGCGGAATCTTCCGGCGGCGCGTGTCACTCACGCGCAATGATTTTGGAGTGCGGACTTTGGGTGTTCGGTCGACAGTGGCAGGAGAACCAGAGGATGAGGGAGGTTGAACAGGGTTGTCGGATACCCAGTTGCTTCTGAGATCGAAGGTTCTGGCAAAAGCTTCTGGGAAGAGGTTCTGGGAATAATCGGAGGTTCTGAGATTGAACTAAGCTTCTGAATAGAGATTCTGTGTAAAGAGGTTCTGACTGGGTTGAGTTTCTTGTAGACAGAATGGTGCACAGAGGTTCTGAACTGAACTCAAGCTCTTTGAGAAAGAACCGAGTGTGAAAAACTAAATTGAAATCTGAAAAACTAAATTGAAATGAAAGGCTCTGATACCATGTTAAAATAGAGCATATTAACTAAGAAATAATATTGGAGAGGAAAGGATTTTCTGTGTATTTCATTGGAGGGTTAAGTCCCTATAAATATAGATTACAAAGATAGAATATTCCTATAAGATTCTATACAATAATAATATCCTAGAGTATATTCCTAAAATATTCTAAAGTATATTCTAAGGATAGAAGAATATTCTAAAGTATATTCTAAAGTATATTCTAATGTCTTTCACACTCCCTTTGGCGCAGCACTTCCCTGAAGGCTGGTGAAAATTTCACCAACCTGGTTCATTGGTCTGATCTAGTCGAAGCAGGCCATTTGGAGAGGATCGAGGTATGTTCCTCAATCAGTTTTTCCTAGCATTAGCCTTTTTTTAGACTGTTGCTGATTTAGTTTCCCCACTTTTTAGGCCGGTACTTATTATCACCGGGCTTTCCTGGCAGCCGATCGGGAGATGATGCTTCTTGCTCGCGAACGGGATGAGAGCCGGTCTCTTCTTGCTGCCGCTCGCAAGATGGCTACCGATCTTCAAGATCGAGCCACTAAAGGTGATAAGGCGGTGGCCGAGCTGGCCGAAATGGAGAAGCAGATCCAGCGGCGTGATCGGGAAATCTGCGCCCTTCGTGCCAAAGTGAAAGCTGCTGAAGCCACTGGCCTCAAAATTGAGAAGGCCAAGGGCGAAAATCCCCCTGCCCCCTATCTAACCGATGTTTCCAAGATCACCAAACAAGCGGTGATAGATTTTCAAAGGGGGAAGAGGCTGAACATCGCCCTGGAGAACACTACTCGGGAGTTCCTTAGGAAGCATCTTGGGGAGTTTCTGGAAAAGTGCGAGGATCCTCTAACCGACAGCCTCAAGCTCCTAGACGAAACGCCCACCGGAACAGCATTTGCCAATGCCTTGGCCAAGGACACGCTTGTTAAGTGCCAGGAAATGCTAGTCGATCGAAACCTCGAGGTGATTACGGAGCACTTCCCCGAGCTGTTTGATCCCGAAGAGGAAGACTGTTGGTCCCGTTTAAGTTGGTAACAGTCTAGAGGGGGGGGTGAATAGACTGTTATAGTTTTTCAAACTTTTCTCTAAGTCAGAGTTGACTTGTCAGAGAGGGTCGAGTTCTGATGATCAGAACTGGTCTAGCAGCGGATAAGAGTTCCGGGTAGCCTCAAAAATACTAAGGCAAATGCCTTTCTGATAACTCTGAAAACAAGATCTGCTGAACACAGATTCCAAGTCTTAGAGTTAATCAGTTAAAATCCTAAGTGCAGAAAATAAATGCAATAAAGTAAATGACACCGGGGATTTTTATAGTGGTTCAAGGAACAACGCGTTCCTCTAGTCCACTGTTCCACTAGCTTTGAGGTAAACGGTTACAAAGCTTAGTCCCTAGCACTGAAGAAGTTCTCCACGCCTTCTTCAAGTCTAGTTGTCACCCGGGATGCAATCCTGCTTCCTGATGACTGGTCCTTTCACTCAGCTTCCCGGAAGTATCACCACTTCACTACTGCAGTTACTTGGACGCCCTTCTTTGCAGAAGATGTTCTGGAAAACAGAGTTTTCTCCAACTTGCTTCGTTACAAAGGATGTGTAGTTGAAGATCTTGAAGGTTGAAGAACAGGATGAACTTTGCTTTTGTTGGGGTTGAGAGATTTTTAGAATTTGAATCTTCCCAACGTAAGCTTTTTCTTGTTTATGATTGAGGAGTTTTGAATCTCAAGAATGCTTATGATGAGAGCAAAAGTTGTAGCAAAGTTATTTGGTTGTTCTTCATCGAGTATCTTTTATACTGAGGTTGTCTGCCCGTTGGAGGAGGAGACAACTGCATTGAATGCGCAAACTGTGGATTTGACCGGTTGGACCCGCAGTTTTGGCAGGTTTCTATTTTAGTCAAATATCTTCCAAAAATCTCGGTCCAATCATCAGTAATAACTCCACAGCGTATCAGGCTCCATTAATGAGCATTGAATGCTTTCCTTAGATGACAAATCTTCTAGCCGTTTGAAGATTTCTTGATCGTTGAACGTAGCTTCAAATTTGTCTAAGTGTTCGTCCAAGTCTGATGAGATTCTCTAATGATGTTCTGACCTTGGATTCTGATGAACTTATATAAGGAACTCTGATACCTGTCTGACGTTGAGTTCTGATGAAACTTTACATCGAACTCTGATGGTTCTCTGATGAGTAGTATTCTGATGGCTTTCTGATGAGCAGCTCTGAAGAGCAACTCTGATGCTTCTCTGATGAGCGACTCTCATGACTTCCGAGAGCGACTCAGAAAGCAGTTCTCATATAGCAACTCTGATCAGATCCACTTAGCAACTCTGATGTCGACTATACTAATGCTTACAACTGAAAATTCTAATACATAAAGTCTAAGTAGGGGTACTCTAAAATTTCTAATATCCTAGCATCATCAAAATCTAATTACATTTATTCCTTACAATTTCCCCCTTTTTGATGATGCCAAAACCCTTAAACTATTTCCAGAGAAGTGCCTTTCACCATAAAAAAAGTTAAAAACTTTCATTACAAACCTTGGTGGGCACTTGGCATAGGAGAATAGCAGGAGTACGATAAAAGAGATAGATAAATACATAAAGCAATAAAGAACACAGAATTTGAAATTGCCATTCAAAATAGAGGCAAGCTGGTTATCTTATTGATCAGAGCGTAGTATAAGAATTACAAGAGATAGAGTGAGAGTTTAGAGATCTTCCTCATCTACCTGTACTTCCACTTCATCAATCTTCTTCAGGATTGCATTTACCTTAGCTCTGATAGAGGCCAAATTCCTTGGATTTTGACACTCATGCCAGTGAGGTTCAAGCTTGCAGTCCAGATAGTTTCTGATGGCTTCTGAGATGTCATTGCCAGGGATCACTTTCATACGCCACCAATCATCTGCTTCTTGCATTGAACCACCATGGTTTATGATAATCATCTCATCTCTATCCAGAATAAGGTTCTCCTGTTGAAGAGGGGTCATATGCTTCTTCATTTCATGAAATTGAGTGGCATCAGGTTTGGCTAGATCACTGTTGAGCCATTGGGCCAGAGTGAAGGTGGAGGCAGTTTTCTTTCCCTTCTTTGATCGAGGAGGATGGGGTCTCTGGATGCCTGCAGCTAGCCTTTTCTGCCTTGCTCTTTCAAAGTATATTGCCGGGTCAACAGCAGGAGTGACTGTCAGAGCTCTGGAGCTTGGACCTTCTGCATCTCTGGTATCTTCCCCCTTTTTGGCATCAGCAAGATCACCAAGCAGGAGTTCAATCTTTGAGAATTCGGTGGCCTGATTCTCCTTTATGACTTCAAGGGCACCTGGCAGAGTCTGTGTTACAGAGGCCAGCCCTTCAATGATTTCCTTCTGTTTATCTACAGCAGATTGGATATCCTTGGTAGTAGCTTCAAGGAGAGTCAGCTTGTGATCTCTTTCCTTTCCACTGTTTATCAGCTTGAGACCAAACTCTTTGTTTGTCTTGCAGATTTCCTCCACATCTGTCAGATGTTCTGCATTCTTGTCAGATGACCACTGAAGAGTGTCCACAGCATCAGTCAGTTCTTGAATTGCCTTGTCCTGAGCTGTGAGAGTCTGAGATTGAGAAAACAGGACAATATGGATGCTGGCAACCTCTGAAGCAATGTTGTCTACCTTCTCATTGGATGTTTTTATGTAGCTCAGGAAGGTAGTTGTCAGTGTAGATAGGGTAGTGGAAATCTTGGCAAGTTAAGACTCAATGTTGTACTGAACCAAATCAAGGTGAGCATCATGTTTCTGATTCAGTACAAGCATCTTGTTGAGCCCAGCAATCATCTGGTCTCCAAAGTCTTCAGCTGATTCCACAAACTCCTGGAAGGGGATGAGGACAGCTTTTGGAGGCGTTGGCTGAGGTATATCACCTCTCTGAGGCTGTGTGTGAGCAGGAGATGGAGGAGGAGTGGGAGTTTTCCTCTTGTTTGATTGGAGGTCCCCAGCCAGTGAGGATGTAAGAAATCCATCATTATCCTCTGTTGAGGAGAGAATCCTCACAACTGGTGCTCTCTTTTGAGTGGATGCTGCAGAGTGTTGTGGAGAGAGTGGTTTGGAGGATTGCTGATGAGGAGTAGGTGAAGCAGGTTTGGATCTCTGAGGAGGTGAGCTCTGATGAGGTGAAGGTTGTAGAGCGGGGGTTCGCTGATGTTGGGGTGAAGGAGGAGGTGATGGTGAGCGGCTTCTGATGGGGGTTATCTGGTGGCAGGGTGATGGTTG